TATTTATATAAAACACGTTTAGTTACAAAAATTATCAAAATAAAAAATTAAGCTGCCGTTGACAACTTAGATGCTAATGATCAAATTAGATGAGCACCCTTACCATTTTAAAGATTCAAAATTATACCAAGTGCATCGGATTCTTTAATTGAATTAAAGGTTGTTTATCAACTAACTATATACGAATCATTTTAAATCGTTACTCATTAAACATATGAATAAGATACTATATAGGTCGTAATATATTAGGTGAAGTCACATACCATATCATTATAAATATGCATAAGACGATAGAGACCAAGAGTATTCAGATACAACACTTTATCATTTTTATTTTAGTACACTTACATATTATCAATGGCTAAAGGTTCAACCATTAATCTTGCTTGCTTTCTTTTATTCGTTCTCATAGCAACAGGTAATAACTATTTGCTATGATATTTTGTTTCATTAGGGTTTATTGGTTGATTTATATTTAGCTAGTATTTCTATTTTGATGATCCGAATAAAATAAGTGCAACTTAACTATTAGCTAGATTGATATTCTGTCAAAAAAGCTAGATTGATATTGGTGTAGTAGAGAGTTGACCAATCTTTGACTTTTTAATTAAGCTATGCTTGGTTAAAAGGCTTGGCTGGATCAAACTTTTTCCAAATTGTTGGATGCATTATAATCTTATGAGCTTAGACAATCTTTAATTTGTTTGTGTATGTGTTTTTTTTAACTTATTTACTTGCTCCAACTTAACAAAAAACTAACAAGGAGCGTTGTTTCAGAATTTTCTGGTAGGGGTTGTGCCAGGGAAGAACTAAAAAGAAGTGTCACAACAGCACCAACAGGCTTTCAAATCAATGGCAATGGTGATTACCCTTGCAATGATGTTAGCGATTGTGATGATTATTGTGGTTCTGATGGTTGTGCTATGTGTGTAAACGGCGAATGCAAATGTAATTGTCCTAATTGAGTAAATTATGAATCAAGCATTGTAATAATAATAATAATAATAATAATAATAATAATAATAATAATAATATATTATTGAGGGTTAGGACCGACAATCCCAAATCAAGCTTTATCTTTTTCTACATTCACCCTTTTTAGCATAATGCATAAATATTTAATAATTTGACATCGGATCCTTTTAATTTTGATATGTTTCTGTTGTACACGCCTATTTATATTAAATGATGTTGATCGAGAATTTTATACATTAATTTATATACGTGTTCCTTAAATTAAAGGTGTGTGTATGTGTGTAAACAAATGTGATCAAATACTTCCAAATAATATCATAAATTATTAAATATAATCAAAATAATAAAGAAAATCATTTTGTTACAAATAGTATGATAATATAGCTTGAATATTAATATCATACTCCCTCCGTCCCGCTAAGATTGTCCCATTTTACCTTTTCGGGAAGTCCCACTAAGATTGTCCCATACCATATTTGGTAAAGATTGTGTGGCTCTAAATCATTCCAACTTTATTAGGCGGTTTGGGGGAGATGTAAATATGTTAGGCGGAGGAAGGTAGAGCGCAGTAATGGCCAGAAGTAAAAATAGGGCGTAGAGGTGAGCTAGGAGGAAGATAGACCCACTAAAGCGTGTCGCGGGAAGGTAGAGCGCAATAAAGGGGATGAAGGTAGAGCGGTGTAAAGGAAGAAGGCTAGCGAGTAAATGGCTGGACTATAGCTCCGCGTTTTCTAAAACCTGAAAACATCCAAATGTCGGTTTTCTATTTCTGAAGGAAAGGCCGAGACATGTCTCATTTTTCTTCTTCCTGAAAACGGTATGGTAAACGGGTTTTCTAATTTTTCTATCTCCAGTTTTCCAAATTTTTAAGAAAACAGAAAATATTTCTATTACTCCCTCCGTCCCAAAATGGTTGGCCAATGTTGACTTGCACGTGGATTAATAAAGTAAAAACTGTGTGGTTGAAATTTGTGCAGAAGAAAGAGAATTAACTTTAGCCACATATTTATTATTTTAAATGGAAATGACCAACCTTTTTGGGACGGCCAAAAAAGGAAATTTGGTCAACCATTTTGGGACGGAGGGAGTAGTAAACAGGCCCTAAGTTTTTGTTTACTTTTTCATATTCTATTTCCTATTTCCTATCTTTTCACTCATCATGTTTTCCATTTTCCCCATTTTTCTCCTCTTTCATACAATTTCTCCCATTTTCATACTTTCCCTACTCTAATTATTGCATTGGGTGTGTTTGGGTATTGATGTTTAACCCAAAATGCCATTTTTATACGTGAAATGTTGCTTACCGCAGCAGTTGGGGTAGAAACAGCTTAAAACCAAATGACCCCATTATCTCGTACCGGTTTTCTCAGTCTCCATGAAATACATAGTGTCAAGTAAAAACATGATTATATACTTAGAAGGATATAATCAAACATACTACATCCGTTTTTAAATAAATGCAACATGTGAAATTGAAATAAAATATTACGCACACACAATTATGAAATAATAAGAAAAGTAAGGTTGAAGCTACTTTTCTGGCAATATTAGGTAAAGTTACAGTAGAGAACCATTTAAGCTATTTTTTCATATAATTTTTGTTTAGTTTATTAATAAAATATATTGGAAAAAAGTTCAAATAAGCCCTTGTACCATTTCCAAACCGTCACTTTAGCCACTGTACTAAAAAAATATCATATAAGTACGCCTACTTTACAAAATGCATCAATTTGACCATTTAATAAGCTTTTGACCTGTAATAGCAAATTTTTAATACTTAAAAATTCTAAAAAATGTTAAAATTTGAAGAAACATATACAAATATTGTGAAAATTTTCAGAATATCAAACTCAATATTTTTTAATTTTTAAAAATATTTGTATATTCGACATCTATTTAAAAGGTTTTTCACGTTTTTCTTTTTTTCTTTTTTTATTTTCACATTGTTTTAGCAGTTTTAGAATTTTTTTACTTTAATGTTTTTAAAATTTTATCTATTTTTATATTTATATTATTTTATATTATTATTAGTTTATTTATTCAAATTTATATGAAGTTTTAAAGATTTATCAATATTCCAATTTAAATTTTAAAAAAATAACCTGCAATAGTAGGTCAAAGGGCTTGGTTGATTGTATTTTAAAAGTAGATGCACTTATATAATACTTTTTTAGTACATGGGCTTAAGTGACGGATTAGATAAAGTAGAAGGGCTTATTTGACCATTTTTTCAAATATATTTTAAATATAACTTTTTCATAAATCAGCAGAATCAGACATTCCAGCCACTTCAGTCAAAAGTTCATAAATTTCTGCAGAATAGGCCGATTCAACTGATTTCAGTATTACCAAACGGGCTCTCTACCTCTTATACAAATTCACAAGACATGAAGCATTTGATGTTTGATGTAATGAATTTGTGTACCTACAGGAACATTGAATTGATACACACTTTTTCCTTGTCCAAAATAAATAAACGCTTTGAAGGTACATTGTATATTAAAATTTTCATTACCGGAAATGTTTATTAAAACTATTAACATAAATATCAATTTAGGTTTAGAAAACTATTAAATCACTAATTGCATTCCTCATTCGCTGTTAATAATATACTATTTATATAAAACATGTTTAGTTACAAAAATTATCAAAATAAAAAATTAAGTTGCCGTTGACAACTTAGATGACAATTTATATACAACTTAATGATCAAATTAGATGAGCCAAGTTACCATTTTAAAGATTCAAAATTATACCAAGTGCATTGAATTCATTAATTGAATTAATGCTTGTTTATTAACTAACTATATAAGAATCATTTTAAATTGTTACTCATTAAACATATGAATAAGATACTATATACGTAGTAATGTATAAGACACATACCATTATAAATATGCATAAGACACTAGAGACCAAGAGTATTCAGATACAACTAACACTTTATCATTTTTATTGTAGTACACTTTACATATTATCAATGGCTAAAGGTTCAACCATTAATCTTGCTTGCTTTCTTTTATTCGTTCTCATAGCAACAGGTAATAACTATTTGTTATGATATTTTGTTTCATTAGGGTTTATTGTTTTTTTTGGAAGAAGGGTTTATTGGTTGATTTATATTTAGCTAGTATTTCTATTTTTGATGATCCGAATAAAATAAGTGCAAATTAACTATTAGCTAGATTGATATTCTTTCAAAAAGCTAGATTGATATTGGTGTAGAGAGTTGACCAATCATTGACTTTTTAAGCTATGCTTGGTTAAAAGGCTTGGCTGGATCAAACTTTTTCAAGTGCCAAATTGTTGGATGCATCATAACCTTATGAGCTTAGACAATCTTTAATTTGTTGGAGTATGTGTTTTTTGTAACTTATTTACTGTTACAACTTAACAAAAAACTAACGAGTGTTACGTTGTTTCAGAATTTTCTTGTAGGAGTTGTGCCAGGGAAGAAATAAAAAGGAGTGCCACAATAGCACCAACAGGTTTTCAAATCAACGGCAATGGTGATTACCCTTGCAATGATGTTAGCGATTGTGATGATTATTGCGGTTCTGATGGTTGTGCTATGTGTGTAAATGGCGAATGCAAATGTAATTGTCCTAATTGAGTAAATTAGGAATCAAGCTAAGAATAATAATAATAGTAGTAGTAGTAATAATAATAATAATAATATATTGAGGGTTTCATTTTAGACCAAATCAATAAAATTGATGGCGGGGTTAGGACCAACAATTCCAAATCAAGCTTTATCTTTTCTACATTCACCCTTTTTAGCATAATGCATAAGTATTTAATAATTTGACATTGGATCCTTTTCATTTTGATATGTTTCTGTGTACACGCCTATTTATATTAAATGATGTCGATCAAGAATTTTATACATTAATTAATTTATATATGTGTTTCTATCTTCCTTAAATTAAAGGTGTGTGTGTGTGAATAAACAAATGTGATCAAATACGTTACTTCCAAATAATATCATAAATAATTAAACATAACCATAATAATAAAGAAAATCATTTAGTTATAAATTGTATGATAATATAGCTTGTGTTGTAGGGAGAATTGAGCGTATAGTTTCATTATCAAAGGCCCTATAAATAGGGAGGTATTAGGGTTTACAGAGACGGGGCCAATGGACCCATAATACATAGTTTACATAGAATGATCCTAATACATATTCTATATACACGATAGCACACTACATAGAATTTCCTTCAACACTCCCCCTTGTGCTGAGTAGTAGATAGAATTTGGTATCAGTCTTGTTGCCTCGTCAGAACCGTGTCAAGTAACAAAAACCCTGTGGGAAAAAATTACCTTGACCGGAGAAAAAGATTATAACATCAAGATAGGCTTCTTTCATTAGGCCCATCTTTATTTGATCCTTGCTTTGATCATTAAAGTTTATATGTGTTGTTACCTCATCAAAAACCTTACCAAGTAACAAAACCCGATGGGAAAAATAAAACTTGGTTAAAGGAAAAGAGTGTAACGTAATGTAGATGGGGAACTCCCCCTCAAGTCTACACATATCCTTAATAGTTACATTAATCAAGGATGTTTGGAAAGTTCATGAATTCCAATACTTGTCACATTACTTACCTTAGCGAAGGCACACAAATAGAGGAATATAATTCCTTTAATTCTCCCCCTGTGTGCCGAGTGTAAGGCGATTAATGTTAAAATTATTAACTTGTTAAAATTATTAACTTGTTAAACCTGTTGCCAATGAACAAAACCCAATGGGAAAAATAAACACCAGTCAAAGGAAAATATGATGCACTAATAAGCACGCGTCAATTACTTTTGACTGCGATGTATTAATTATGTTCTTCCTTCAACATAGTTTTACCTTTGCAAAATTAAAGTGGGGGATGGTGCATATTATGTTGGCTCAAAAAACCTTACCAAGTATCAAAACCCAATGGGAAAAAATAGACCTTGGTTAAAAAGGAAAAAGAGTACAACACGCCAATATAATATAATTGATGATAAGTAAGTGTGTAAGTACTCCCCCTGAGTGCAACACATCAATAAGAATCTAACATTTACTTGATATATACTTTTATCAAGGTATTTCGTATATAACATCATGGTTTCTTTCATGATAAATATATACTCATTAATAAAATATCGATATAGTAAGGGGATACATATCATCGGTAAAACTCAAATCACGTTGTTTTGTGTTAGAGTAATACTTTTGATGTTTTCAATTCCTTTAGGAATATTGTTATCATCAATCATTTAATTCAATTTATAAGGGATGAATAAAGATTACTCCAATGGTTTCATATAGATATCAAAGTACACTCTTGATACCATTTCAATGACGATATACGATGTGTTGGTCCTGAGTTATTTTTAGCTAACACGTTATTGAGAATGTAATATTTGGTCGAATGTGTTGGTCAAAGTACAATCATGCGCATATTGCACTTACATAGGGAATTTCTCCTCCCAATAACTTTTTAGTAATGGAACTTTTCTAGTATCCATATTTCGACCAATCATGGGAGTGCTAACAGTTTACATTTATCCATATCAATTTTGCCTGAAAACCCTTTTGGATATATGCAACTGGTGAATTAGTATTCAACCAACTCGGTGTTTAATTTCAAAACAGAACCAAGTTTCCCAAGATCCTTCATCTCAATTATGATTTTCAAGTATCTAACATGTCTCATGTTCCATTATGAGTACATATTATGTCTATATCATGGAGATACAGTGATATTTGGAAACAAAACTTATTCCATTGTAAATGCGCTAGGCATAATATATTCATTTTGCATCCCTTTTCAGTCAAGTGGTCACTTGGACGGGTATGTCACTCCCGTCTGGATTGATTTAATCCAAATGTGAACGTATATAATGTTATTAAAAACCACTTGATAAAAACATAAGTTCTTCATAAAAACATAACTGCTCTTAAGTAAGATTGAGACATTTATTTGGTGACCCCAATCTTTAGCTGCGTCTCCATTACTTTGGAGGCTACTTAAAGATTAAGTAGTTGAACATTTTTGTGTTCAAAATAGAGAAGTGTATGTAACTTTTCATATGTGAATCCAGCGCGTAATGAGAATAATTAGGACCTCATTACCTCAATACGCTTTCTAACAAAGAATAGTTTATGTCCTACAGGCTTTACACTTGGTTGATTAGCACTATCACACCAAATACCTGTCTCTTTGTCAAATATTAAATTTATACCTGGATTACTTGTACGCTTTTAGGCCAAAATTCTCATTGCTTTCATGTTGCAATAGAGTATGGTTCGATATCATCGTGCTCTATATTCGTTTGAGCAACCATAAATATATCGTCAGTATAAGTGTAAGGTCTATCATTCGACTCATACACACTCTCATTAACATGGAGATTTTAATTCTCTGGAATCATTTAAACTTTGGGGCGTCCCCCATTATTGATTCATGGACATGTTTAGTCAGAGATAATCTCATGAGAGGAATTCATATGATGACGAATATATTGGTTTGTGCCTTATCTACCCTCTACTACTTGGGGTGGATAATTGATCGAACCATATGGCCTCACTCTGTTCCTTTAGAGAGCCACGACCTCAACCATAACCCCACGTTTTGTGGTTGCAATGCTTCTTCCTTTAGCATTGTGTCTTTTAATTTGAATTCAAGTCTTATGAATATATTTGCAGTTAATGTGTATAATCTGATTACTTAAATCATTTATGATAATTGATAAACACTTCAACTTCAATGTTACATTTTGAAGTCTAAAGTTTATCATTGAGACAGAGTAGTGATGTACCTGTCATTTAATTAGAGAATTCTTTCTCTAATCTCCCCCTAATGACAGGAAAATTAGTTGTCTCATAAAAGTAATATTCCGCAAAGCGGTGAACACATTATTTGTTAAGACTTGTAGCGGTTATTATTGGAGGTTCATATCCAACATAAACAACATTTGTCTTTTAAAACCGATTATAGTGCGTTGTGGGAGGCGCATTAGGCACAATTAGTTAACAACCATATATGTATACATAGAACATCTCAGGCTAAGATCCAGTCACCAATTGGTATACACAAAAGGGTTGTCTACTGTTGGTCTAAAAACAAATGTGTAAGAGTGCTTGCAATATTGCATAATCCCATGAAAATAATTATATATACGTGTGCGCATAGTAGATATAATATTCACCATCTATATTCTTTTAGATGTGAGCTTTAGTGAGACTTTATTTTTACATGGGATGTGAGATGATTTTCATTTATCTCAACAAATATGCAATACTCATCAAATACTTTTGATGAGAACTGTCTAGCAATAACAAGTCATACAGACTTGATTGGTCGGGTGGTGAGCCCTTAAATGAGTAAAGTTTGCTAGAAGTTTTGCAAATGCAACATTTTATGTAACAAGAAAATATATAGCATGAGGAGATTTCTACCAAACCATAATTACTTAAATGGCCCGCATTTTGGTAGATAAGTTCTCACATGTCAAATTATTTTGAAAAATGAGATATCTTCATTTTTATATCCTTAGCATAGACAAGTCTCGATTCTATTATTGCTAAGGAGTAAACTTTAAGAAATAATTGACGTGCCTTTTACTATTGAAATAATTGACGTGCCTTTTACTATATCTGTAAGGCATAATAGAAACAAAATATTTCTTCTCATACTTTAAAAGATGAATATAATTTTCATAGTGAGTTATATCAAAGTTTACATGAGTCAATGACCATTTTGACTCATTCACTTCTTAAACATGCATTTTGTTTGGCATATATTAGATGTAATATAATATTTTCTATCTCATTTTATAACAAGCTTCTATGCGAAAACCCATTAAGGATACCCCGGCAAATATTGAAATTCTCGCAGTATGAGAGTTTGAAAAACATCCCTTCACAAGGGTGTATAAAGGGAAGTTTTTCTTGTCACTTTGACAAGAGTCCACTCACAAGACATGAACCCATGAAATGGTTCCATTCTATGTGAAAATCATTGTGATGGACAAATTTTGAACGTAGTAAGCTTGGTGACTTCTAGATGCATTTAGATCAGATGTCACGAGTATAATTCTATTCATTTAGATATGAGATATTTAGATAGTTCATCACCTTAATCAATCACAAATGAAAATAAAGAATTATATCAATGAATAAATATTCATTGCCTAATTTATTGTGTATCATCACAATGGGATAAAACACTTACTTGTTATAAATTGTATTAATTTACAACTGTCATTCATATACTTCAAAGTGTCATGATATCAGGTCGAATGAGGTTCATATCATTCTACTATTTTATGGATATATTCCTTTGTATCCATTCTTTTATGAATAAAATTCATAGATATACATTTATTGAATTAATATGCATAAATATCTTAAATGTAATTTGAGATAAATAGTGAGATATTAAATTATTTTAAAATCTCAAATGAATACACATAATTTATATCAAACTATAAGTATAGAAATAAAGGTCTAATTAGAAGTAACAATGTCCATATTTGTAAAACTCATGAAAGAGTAAAAACATGGATAAATCCAACTAGTAGAGATGGTTCTTATTCTCAACATAAGAGACATTAATAAAATCGAATTTATATTTAATCTCTCGAGCGGTGAGTCTCTTGTTCGTGAGAGATTATATGGGGATTAATACTAAAAGTGTATTGTCAACTATATCATGAATTAATTATCATAATTGATCATCTTATCTTCATTATTTTGTTTCGAAATATATATTTTCATATTCTATTTGGAAATTTCGTTATCCAAATAGCTCTTGGGAGATTTCTTTGTCCAAAAAACTATTGTTACTATATTTAAAAGGACATAATAACGATAAATCTTGTTCACTAGTGCAAGCCAAACACTTATGAAGTTATGAGTGATATATATAGTTCTTTGACTTGTACCGATTTATTAGTACACATCTAGAAAAGTATGTGTAAAAATGGATAATTTATTTCTATCAAATAAACTTTTCAGATTGGTAGATCACAAAAGTAGTAGCATTCTAGTCATAAAAGTAGTCTCTGCAATATGCATCGAAGGATCTTGAATCCATTTGGGTCCAGAATGTAAAAATCCAATCAAGTTGATCGGTCATCTATTTTCTTTTATTTTTTTTTTAAAAAAAAAACACATTATAGCATAGTGATATATACTCATATGAGTTGTCGAAAATTTGCAAATCTTCGTGCGAAAATTCCTTATCACACATATAATTAATAGAGGAAACTGAATGTGGTGGAAAATGATAAATCTTGCACCTATGATATTTATATATAAAAATGTTATAAGTAAGATTTCATTTCTGTGTAAAATTTCTTATCACACGAATATTTGAAAGAGCACTTCTAGCAATGTGTGCTAATGTGTGCTTTCACCAATTATAAATTTTATTATTAAAAGAATTATATGCAATAATTCTGATTGGTATAACTTATAAGCATATATCTATGCAATAAAACATTTAATATGTACAAAATGTTATGCAATAAGCATATTAAGGGATATGTATAGTAATAATCTATGTTGCACGGATACGGATACGCCGATACGCGGATACGCGGATACGGGTACGGCGATACGGCACTTTCAAAAATTATAGGATACGGGTACGGGGGTATATTTATAAATAATAAAAATATAGGGTATAATTTGCAAATATATATAATTCAGGGGTTCATAAATAAAATAATAATAGTACAAAAAAATAACTATTATAATAAAGTTTCAAAGATTAGTCTAAAAAACTAAAGTATTGATATTTTGATTTAAATTCAAATAATTTTTTTTGTTCTCTATTTGCATTTACATCCAAGTCTTGTTTCAATTAAATATCATCAAGCAATGAAATGTCAAATTATAGTATTCCATTATTTTTCATACTCCCGAAACCATCTTTATCAATGTTCCACATGTTGTGGTCGCTTGGTTGGCTACTAAATTTTCGTCATGTCGTGTATAAAATGAGGGGTTATAGGTTCAGATACGCGTATCGGTTTACGGATACGGGTATCGGAAGTATCGGTATTTTTAAAATTAAGCCCGATACTTTTATTAAATTACGGATACGGACCCAATACGTACAGGACGGGTATCGGTGAGTATCGGATACGGATACGTATCGGATACGCGGATACGGCATCGAAGTGAAGTATCGGTGCAACATAGGTAATAATGATAAACAAGCTAGACAATGTGCCCATGTGAAAGGGAAAAAAAATTATGTCGGTTTTTAATTTATAGAAACATATTCCATTATATACGGAGTATAAATTGTTAATAAATGAAATTGTGAAATAGGTACACATCAATACATCATACGTATATCATCACAAATAATGAATCAAGTAGCACCTAATTGAGAGCACATAATTGAAGAGTTGTCTGATGAATGACATACCTGGGACCCTCTGCATATGGGAATTGAAATGAGATGTACTAATTTCATGTGGGGCCCTCCACGTATATTTGTCCATCCTTGCAGAGTTGCAGATCGATCAACTTACCTCCGACTGAATGGAAACGACCAACGTCACCGACACCATCTATGTGAATGTTAAGGTGAAGAAGTACCAGTTAAGAAGGCTGTTGGAAGGCTGTTGATTCCTCTCTTTCTCGATCCCGTCTTCGGGTTGAATAGGTCCACCAGGGATTGCTAAGTGTCACGGCCAGATTCAATTTCGAGAGATTCCATGGATTTGTGAGGCAGAAAGTACTCACCAGACAAGGTGATGGTCTGATGGCCGGATGGCGCCGCTTGTTCGCGGTTGGTTTTACCCGGTAGAGGAATTCAAGCTGCGGCTTCGTTAGTGGCGAGATGGAGATGCCGCTATTGAGAGAAAAGAAATTACACTGTCAACAAATTGACTGACGACTGAGGTCACAACTTCCGGCGAAGAATGATCGAATCGGCTGGCTCGTTGCTAGTAGCAGAGGCGGCGGCGGCTGAATAGGGACGTCAATCTGCCATATTTGGCTGAGGAAAACGTGCACCGGACTCCAGCAAGTGACCCTCCAGCGGCGACGAACTTCCAGCTTTGACAAGGGCGGCAAAACTTCGGCAATTGAGGCTGGTAACCGTAAGCTGTCTGTAATTGATGTGCGCTGCTTGAGGAACTTTCAGCAACAGATCCGACGCGGGATGTATTTAAGCGACGGTATCTGATGGGCGGCATTTTTGGATCCGGCGGGCGGCGTCTATCAGCGTCTGGATCCGGCAGGGCGGCGGTGAGAGACTAAGTGTGACTCAGAGGGGCAACCGAATGAGCACAGCGGCTGATAGAGGGGGCGGCCGGCTGTTTGGGGCGGTGATGGCCTTGAGCATCACATCTAGCGGCCGGCGAGCTTCGTCGGAGGGGATGAATCTAGTGACGGTAAAGACTAAAGAATAGTGATGATTCGAACGCCGTATGATGACCATGAGGCCGTACAAGTAAGAGAGCCATTAATGGAGGTGATATGGAGGTCTTTGTTGTAGCAGCGGCTGAGCAACCACCAAGGTGTCGGCCAGTGAGAAAAGAGAGAAAGGGGAAAATTAGGTTTAGAACTTTCGTGCTGATAACGTGTTGTAGGGAGAATTGAGCGTATAGTTTCATTATCAAAGGCCCTATAAATAGGGAGGTATTAGGGTTTACAGAGACGGGGCCAATGGACCCATAATACATAGTTTACATAGAATGATCCTAATACATATTCTATATACACGATAGCACACTACATAGAATTTCCTTCAACAGCTTGAATATTATTATATCATAATGAATAAATCTTTGTAAGTTTAAATTTGAGACTCCACAATAGGCTTAATTTTGGATCATTATGATTGGGAATTATTCTAAGCTATAATATATTACAAATGTTTAAAATCAGGTTTATTAAAGTGATGTGCTAAATTTCAATCTAAATGAACCTCAAACACAACCTCTAAACGAAAAATATATCTTGAATGGACTTTTCAATTATTGTAAACTTTAGCATATTACATCAATATTTTTTAAACCCTTAATTGGAATGGGATTGTGAAACATAAAAATGCACTTTTCTTGTGCCAACACATTCCAAAAAAATATTTTTAATTTATTGTTCAAATTGCTTGTTTGTGATAATTGATGAGAAGGAACGTTGACATCAAAGAGATGAATGTTCAATCGTTGATTTTCAAAACCCGCTAAGACATAAATGTGTGTTAATTAAAATGGAAGGTAAATTGATGTGAACATGTAGTGCATTTAGTAAGAGAGTTTTCATATTGCAAAAATGGTAATTTTGGTTAGGATGGATTTATTAACTAGTTAATACTAACGAAAATTCAATGTGAAATGAGTTGTGATAGTATTTAGTAATGAATATTAACTATGTAATAACTAAAATAAATGGAACTAACAAATCCAAAAACAATAGTCATGTAACAAATTAAAAGTGGTCAAAGTCGAAAACGTGGAACAACTGTGTAAATGATGCAATACTCGATAGGATCAAAAGTGGAATTTATTATTTATTCTTTTTTCATCGAATAACTCAACAGTTCTATCAACTTCATTTGAGACATAACATAACTAACTAATAAGTAATTTTAAACTTTATTTTGAAAGGACCATTGATTAGAGACTTATATTATAAATATTGATAGGTAGCTTCACTTTATTTCGAATCCACTAGTGTGTAAAAAATCACTTCCTTTGTTCTAAAGTAGTTTGCGATTTTTTTGTCCGCGCAATTTGATTATCAAATTTTTATTGTATTTCAATTCGGTTCAACTTAATAGAACTTTTAATAGGGTTTCTTAATTATTGAAATTCAATTAATTATATGTACTCCGGTATTATTTAACTTTATCGTCGGTCAATCTCTAAAACACCAAATTGCAAATTAATTTGAGAAGGTTGAAGTATAGAAAAAGTTAAGTAAAGAGTTACAAGTAGAGCTGCCTATGATAAAAGTAACAGACATTATATATAAAGTGGAACTATTATAAAAGAGAAATCTCGCATGAACTGAATTGGAGATACAAACTACATACTTTATTCAATAACCCATCAGGTATATTTATATTACATCGCGTATGATAGCTAGGAAAGGAGAGAGCACTATGCATGGGCCATGTATAGATATGAAAATCACGTACGTAGCTATGTGTGGTGGTGTGCAAACACTACATGTGAAATAATGATAAAATATTTCATGTCATAATATTCAATACTCCCCCTCAAGGTGGAGTGTGAAGATTACGTACACCCAACTTGCTGCGGAGAAATTGAAAACGGTCTGTGCCAAGTGCTTTGGTAAATATGTCAGCCACTTGATTGGCTGTGGAGATGAAAACTGGTTGGATCTCTTTACTAGCAACCCTTTCTCTTACAAAATAGCAGTCTATTTCCACATGCTTTGTACGTTCATGAAAAACTGGGTTAAGTGCTATATGACGTGCCGCTTGATTGTCACAATATAGAGGTGTGGGACCTGTTTGATCAACTGTAAGATCATGAAGTAACCACCGTAACCATAATATTTCACTAACGGTAACTGCCATGGCACGATATTCTGCTTCAGCAGAAGAGCGAGAAACAACAGCTTGTTTCTTTGTTCTCCAAGAGATAGGTGAATTTCCAATAGAGATAAAATATCCAGTACTAGAGCGTCGAGAGAAGGAACATCCAGCCCAGTCTGCATCACAATAGCCCTTTAAGTTGAAATCGTTATCAGATGATAAAAATATTCCTTGACCGGGCGTTTGTTTTAAATAGCGTAATATACGAATGGCAGCATCTAGATGACTCTGTCGCGGATGGCTTAGAAATTGACTGAGTTGACTGACAGAATAAACAATATCCGGACGAGTTACTGTAAGGTACAATAGACGCCCAATCAGTCTGCGATAGGAAGACGCGTCTACTGGCCGACTACCATCGTCTGGGCACAGTTTTAAGTTTTGTTCCATGGGGAACGGACTGGGACGACCCGCTAGGAGCCCACTTTCTTCCAAGATATCAAGAGTATACTTTCGTTGGCTTAAGACAAAACCCTCCGGTGAACGAGCAACTTCAATTCCAAGAAAGTATTTCAATTTTCCCAAGTCTTTGATGCTAAACTTATTGTTTAAGTAATTTTTGACGGAGGAAATATGAGAGATGTCATTTCCGACCAAGAGGACGTCATCAACATATATAAGGGCAAAGGTTATGACAGTACCCTCTCGGAAAATGAATAAGGAATAATCCGCTCGAGACTGGCGAAAACCTATCTCAATGAGGGCTTGAGTAAATTTGTGATACCAATTGCGAGAAGCCTGACGTAGCCCATATAGAGATTTTTGTAACTTGCAAACACGAGTATCACCTTGTCTTTCGAATCCTTGAGGAATACGCATATAAACGTCCTCAGAAAGATCACCATGAAGAAAAGCATTATTGACATCTAGTTGGTGTACAACCCAACTGCGCTTAGCTGCAACGGCTAGTATGCATCGCACCGTGACGAGTTTGGCAACCGGTGCAAATGTCTCGTGAAAATCAATACCCTCAACCTGCGTAAATCCCTTAGCAACCAATCTAGCTTTATAACGTTCCACGTCTCCATTTGGTTTATATTTAATTTTATAAATCCATTTCGAATCAACAATTCTTTTTCCGGCCGGTGGTGGGACTAGAACCCAAGTGTTATTTTCTTCCAATGCGCTGATCTCCTTTTGCATTGCATCTCTCCATAAAGGGTCTCGTACAGCCTGTGAAAAATATTTAGGCTCATCACGTGAAGTGATGGCCGCTAAATATGCTTTATGAGTACAAGAAAATTTTTCATAACTAATGAATTTTGAAATAGGATATACCGTCGAGTCTACTAAATTGGCGGTGGTCCGTGAATGATCCAGTGAAGGTGGCAAGTCAGTCTCATAATCATCCAGATGCTTTGGATTTTTACGATGTCTATCACTCCTTCTTTGATGAAAATACGGAGCACTACTGTTGGGAGCCAGAGTTGATGGAACATGGGGGTCCATTGTTGATGTCCTTTGTGTACAAGTAGGTTGAATGGTAACGTCAGATTGAATCTCATCCATCCTTACATGAGTGGGGCTGGTACTCATCACATCATGTGGAGTAAATTGGCTGATTTGAGTGTCTAAATACAAACCCAGCTGTCCAGGAGTGTTTTCGGTGATTGGGATTGCCCCTATTTCTTTTGTGGGTGAAATTGGGTGCTGCTGCATGGGGCTGCTGTCATTTTGTGCAAGTGGGGTCCTTTCTAGCACATCATGTGTTGGATGAGAGGCAGTAGATGGAACGGAGTCGGTGGTGAGGTGTTTGTCCGAAGTAGCTAGGCGATATGTCGGTGGGGTATATCTTCCATTATTTTGAACAAATGGAGGCTGGCCATTCCCAATAATTGGACGGGTAGCGGGCATTGTAATAGGACTAGGGTGACTTTCAGTAGGATCATTATAGCTCAAGATGTGATAATAAACTTTATCTATAATGGCCGAAAAATCAAGATCCTTATCCTGAATTATTTTGAAAGGGAATTTTTCTTCATAAAACGTAACATCCCGAGAGCTATAAACACTACGTGCTTTTAAATCAAAGACTCGATAAGCCTTTTGACCATTTGGATACCCAAGAAATACACATGGACTCCTCCTTTCACCGAATTTATCTTTCCATTTATTGTCATGTGCATATACCAAACATCCAAATACCCGCATATGATCATAACAAGGCCCTTTTCCAAACAACATTTCATAAGGGCTTTTGTTAGAAATAATAGGTGAGGGAAGCCTATTAATAATGTACACAGCGGTCAAAATGCATTCTCCCCAAAAATTAATAGGCAACCCAGACTGAAAACGTAATGCCCTTGCGACTTCCAATATATGTCTATGCTTACGTTCCACAACTCCATTTTGTTGTGGAGTGTATGTGCATGACGTCTCAAGTAATATTCCACTGCGTCCATAATAGTCAAATAAAATGTTGGTTTGAAATTCCACACCATTATCGGCTCTAATTCGTTTGACCTTTTGCTCAAATTGAGTATCAATCATGTTGCAAAATTGAATTAAGAGTTGAGAAACTTCGGATTTATTTTTCATTAAATAAACCCACACACCTCTAGTAAAATCATCAACAATAGACAAGAAGTACCGTGCACCTGATGTTGAGTCGCATCTGTAACCTCCCCAAATGTCACAGTGTATTAGTTCAAAGCAGCGAGTCGTCTTAATGGTACTTGTGGGAAAAGATAATCGAGTCTGCTTAGCTCGAACGCAAGGATCACAAAATTTCTCACTTCGTTGGAAACCCTTGAGAGAACTAATGTGATGTAACTTTCCATCGGATGCGTGTCCCAAACGTTGATGCCATAAATCAGATGTAGTAGAGACTGACATTGCCACCCCTTTATTTTCAGGGGAATCAAGGTAGTAAAGACCATTACGAAACTGACCCACCCCAATTAGTTTCCTCGAAGGTAAATCCTGCAAAATACAAAAGTCTGAAAAAAATGTGAGTGTGCAGTTTAAATCCCTTGCAAGGCGACTAGCGGAGAGTAAATTGCACTGGAATTTTGGGATATATAAAACACGTTGAAGATATAACCCATTGGGTAAATACATGCTACCAATAGCATGAACCGGTACTGCTTCACCATTAGGAATCTTGACCGACGGTACGGAGATATGATTCACGGTGTTGATGAGGTTAATATCAGTACAAGTGATATGTTCAATAGCTCCGGAGTCAAT